TAAAAGATGTGCAACAATTGTTTCAACATTTTAAAAGATGTGCAACAATTGTTTCAACATTTTAAAAGATGTGCAACAATTGTTTCAACATTTTAAAAGATGTGCAACAATTGTTTCAACATTTTAAAAGATGTGCAACAATTGTTTCAACATTTTAAAAGATGTGCAACAATTGTTTCAACATTTTAAAAGATGTGCAACAATTGTTTCAACATTTTAAAAGATGTGCAACAATTGTTTCAACATTTTAAAAGATGTGCAACAATTGTTTCAACATTTTAAAAGATGTGCAACAATTGTTTCAACATTTTAAAAGATGTGCAACAATTGTTTCAACATTTTAAAAGATGTGCAACAATTGTTTCAACATTTTAAAAGATGTGCAACAATTGTTTCAACATTTTAAAAGATGTGCAACAATTGTTTCAACATTTTAAAAGATGTGCAACAATTGTTTCAACATTTTAAAAGATGTGCAACAATTGTTTCAACATTTTAAAAGATGTGCAACAATTGTTTCAACATTTTAAAAGATGTGCAACAATTGTTTCAACATTTTAAAAGATGTGCAACAATTGTTTCAACATTTTAAAAGATGTGCAACAATTGTTTCAACATTTTAAAAGATGTGCAACAATTGTTTCAACATTTTAAAAGATGTGCAACAATTGTTTCAACATTTTAAAAGATGTGCAACAATTGTTTCAACATTTTAAAAGATGTGCAACAATTGTTTCAACATTTTAAAAGATGTGCAACAATTGTTTCAACATTTTAAAAGATGTGCAACAATTGTTTCAACATTTTAAAAGATGTGCAACAATTGTTTCAACATTTTAAAAGATGTGCAACAATTGTTTCAACATTTTAAAAGATGTGCAACAATTGTTTCAACATTTTAAAAGATGTGCAACAATTGTTTCAACATTTTAAAAGATGTGCAACAATTGTTTCAACATTTTAAAAGATGTGCAACAATTGTTTCAACATTTTAAAAGATGTGCAACAATTGTTTCAACATTTTAAAAGATGTGCAACAATTGTTTCAACATTTTAAAAGATGTGCAACAATTGTTTCAACATTTTAAAAGATGTGCAACAATTGTTTCAACATTTTAAAAGATGTGCAACAATTGTTTCAACATTTTAAAAGATGTGCAACAATTGTTTCAACATTTTAAAAGATGTGCAACAATTGTTTCAACATTTTAAAAGATGTGCAACAATTGTTTCAACATTTTAAAAGATGTGCAACAATTGTTTCAACATTTTAAAAGATGTGCAACAATTGTTTCAACATTTTAAAAGATGTGCAACAATTGTTTCAACATTTTAAAAGATGTGCAACAATTGTTTCAACATTTTAAAAGATGTGCAACAATTGTTTCAACATTTTAAAAGATGTGCAACAATTGTTTCAACATTTTAAAAGATGTGCAACAATTGTTTCAACATTTTAAAAGATGTGCAACAATTGTTTCAACATTTTAAAAGATGTGCAACAATTGTTTCAACATTTTAAAAGATGTGCAACAATTGTTTCAACATTTTAAAAGATGTGCAACAATTGTTTCAACATTTTAAAAGATCTGCAACAATTGTTGCAACATTTTAAAAGATGTGCAACAATTGTTTCAACATTTTAAAAGATGTGCAACAATTGTTTCAACATTTTAAAAGATGTGCAACAATTGTTTCAACATTTTAAAAGATGTGCAACAATTGTTTCAACATTTTAAAAGATGTGCAACAATTGTTTCAACATTTTAAAAGATGTGCAACAATTGTTTCAACATTTTAAAAGATGTGCAACAATTGTTTCAACATTTTAAAAGATGTGCAACAATTGTTTCAACATTTTAAAAGATGTGCAACAATTGTTTCAACATTTTAAAAGATGTGCAACAATTGTTTCAACATTTTAAAAGATGTGCAACAATTGTTTCAACATTTTAAAAGATGTGCAACAATTGTTTCAACATTTTAAAAGATGTGCAACAATTGTTTCAACATTTTAAAAGATCTGCAACAATTGTTGCAACATTTTAAAAGATGTGCAACAATTGTTTCAACATTTTAAAAGATGTGCAACAATTGTTTCAACATTTTAAAAGATGTGCAACAATTGTTTCAACATTTTAAAAGATGTGCAACAATTGTTTCAACATTTTAAAAGATGTGCAACAATTGTTTCAACATTTTAAAAGATCTGCAACAATTGTTGCAACATTTTAAAAGATGTGCAACAATTGTTTCAACATTTTAAAAGATGTGCAACAATTGTTTCAACATTTTAAAAGATGTGCAACAATTGTTTCAACATTTTAAAAGATGTGCAACAATTGTTTCAACATTTTAAAAGATCTGCAACAATTGTTTCAACATTTTAAAAGATGTGCAACAATTGTTTCAACATTTTAAAAGATGTGCAACAATTGTTTCAACATTTTAAAAGATGTGCAACAATTGTTTCAACATTTTAAAAGATGTGCAACAATTGTTTCAACATTTTACTCTGTTGGGTTATCATCATAACAATTTTAAAAATATTTGTTGAGATTTTTTTCACAGTAGGAAGGGCATTAAGGAGAAGCGACTAACCTGAATAAATAAATAAATACAGACTCACCAACCCAAGCCTCAAAATGTGGACTGAACCCTAGTGACAGAATCACCAAACCCTATCTCACCAACCCCCACCTCACCAACCCCCACCTCACCAGAAAATGTTAACCAGATATTACCTATAACAAAAATGTACAGAGAGGTGTTGGGCTCAAACAATGAGTAACATTTGTGTTTGACACATATTGAGCAAGAACTCGTCATAAAAGTACAAAAATGAACAGTCTAGCCAATCCTTACAATTAATGTATGTCTCATTATTAAACAAAAAATTAACAGTCTAGCTGAACCTTACAATTAATGTATGTCTCATTAAACAAAAATTTAACAGTCTAGCCAATCCTTACAATGATGTACGTCTCATTACAAAACAAAATGTTGAACTCACGCACATGAAATAAAGGCAAACCCCTGTGGCAAATAAAATGTGGATGGTTTTCTTGTCCATTTGGACAAAAATGTGACGTTCAAGAAAATAACTTATATAATGTTACACACTTTACATAATGTTAGTACACATATTTTTATACAAGAAATATCAGACTGTACGTAAGTTAAATATCAAATATCAGACTGTACGTAAGTTAAATATCAAATAACAATTTTCTTCACAGCTGGGGTGAAATTAGAAGTCGTTAAACTTTAGTTTGAATTATTTTCACAACTGTTTAATTAATTAAAATATTTAATGGCATTTAATATATTAAATATAAATAGCATTTTATTGTTTTTAAAAGAGTAAAAAGTATAATGAAAAATGTTTTAAAATTGTAATTGAATTTTAAATTTTTTTTTATGTCTAGTTAACATTTTGTATGTAATTACATACATACATATGTGTGTGTTTGTGTATACATATATATATAGATATAACAAATGTTAAATTTAACAAGTGACACAATCGTTTATAAAATGAAATAAAAAAATGGAGATTGCACCAAGATTGTTCTAGAAAAATTGGTTACGGATGTTCCAAATCAAAAGCAAGCTGCTACCTATGTAAAGCAAGGCACATTTAATTGGACAGCAAAATCAAAATGTATCAAATGGCGGAGCTATACAAATGTCAATCCTCTGTTCACAAAAAAAATGTTCACGTAAGAAAATGACTAGCGATATAATTAAAATAATTGAAATGATAAACAAAAATATTTTTCTCATTTGACAAAAATACCTTCTTAATTACATTTATAGAATTAAATCAACTCTACTTCATCTGTTCCATACATTATCTGATCTGAAAGTTTTAAAACTGTAATCAAGATTAATTAACAGCACTTAACTAATCAGGAAGAGCAACGTTAATACTACCATCATTAATACCAGTTAGCTCCCTTGTCAAGTTGAGTGAAAGTCCGTTGTTTGTTATGTTTTGTTTAGCAAGAAATCAAATGGCTTTCACAGGGCTGTAAGTATGAAGTAAATAAGGTAATTAGTGAGTAATTAAAAACTGTTCCTCCCAGGACCAGACCAAATCATTGTTAAAATATGCATTCAACAATTTTTATATTATACAATGGTTTTGCCATTTATTCATTTAGGGGATAAACTTGTAAGAGTTGACACCGTTTGAATTAATACTGTTAATATGAATTTTTTTAAATGAACACACTTGTAAGTATTATACAATCCATTGACTGTCTCAATGATTGTCTCAATGATTGTCTCAATAAGACTTGGGTGTCATATGAAGTTACATTTTTTGCATTATAACAACACCATCTAGATTATCTCAACAATCTAGACAGCCTGTCTCAACAATTTAGACAGCATGTCTTAACAATCTAGACAGCATGTCTTAACAATCACTCAGCACAGAAATTATTCCCCAGCAGTCACACTCAAATGTAGAGATTAGCAGAAATAAATATTAAAGAGAAATAAAAGGTCACTCAGGATTAAATAAATGAACAATTAAAGGGAAGTAACTCTAAAGTAAAATGACCTAATTGTGTTACACAAACAAGCCAGACAACTCTGACTAAAAACAAACCTACAAAATTGTTTCCCACAAAGAAGTGGACAATCAAGATTCACATTAAAAAATTTAAAAACTTATAAAAAATGATGTAGAATAAAAATCTAAGGCAGTTAAGTTCAATTCATGTGTACCCAGGTGCATGCCAAGATAAAGAAAAAAAGGACATTACAGTTTCTGAACCCATTCACACCAACAGCATTGAAAACAGTAGGTCAAAAACAAGAAACACATTTCATGGGTGATTTTGTGCGTTTAGTTGTACAGCTTTGTTGTAGGTTCTCTTCTTGGCTGACTGGATGAATTATGTGACTAATGTTGTGTTGATACATTGTGACTGACTGAATTAGGTCTGTGGGTGAATTATGTTGAGTTTATACATTGTGGTTTGAAGCTGATATTTTTTTAGAGGTAATTTAAGTAGGTGTATTCAGGCAAGTATGAGTTGAGCAGGACCTAATTTGACAGTTGAGCAGGACCTCAAGAGATGAGCAGGACCTAGTCAACAACAGGTTTGACGACGACCTTCCCCCCTCGTAGCTCCGTGTGTATCCCCGCCTCCCTGAGTGCCGCGATGTGGCCAGCCATGCCCTGTAGTGACATGCCAGATAGGATGTCCCTGTTTTCTCTGTTGTTCTCCACCAAGTTCCTGATGGCCAGGACCACCCACTGGGTGATGACTGAAACAAAAAGTTGGGAAATTTAGACACGGAGACATAAACATATGGTTAAATTTACACAGAAAAAAATAATTAAATTAGTAATTTTCACACAAAATTTGGACTTCTTTTTTCTTTGCTCTTAATTGTAATATTGTAAGGGATTCCCTTCGACATAATTAAGTATCACAATTCTTGAAATGCGCCCAGTAGGTCATTGGCCCAAATTTCAGCCTGCTTTTCTTTTTGGATTTACTTCCATAACTTTTGTCCATCCGAGAACAAACTACAAGTTGAAAAAAGAAACCAGTAAAAAAAATAAAAGGTTGACAGTGACAAGGTTGGCTTACAAGGGTTGTGACAGTCTAACATTGTCATATCCAGCAGCAAGGGGATGCCATCCAGTGTCCGCACCTGTAGGTGAACAACAATAGGTCAGGCTGGTCACTTTTTAAAACATTTCTTCAAATGAGAAACTATTGACTGCTGCAGCATACATTCAACAAAAATTTAAAATGAATGCAGACAAAACATAAGGTAAATTATCTACAACTAGCCATAAACTAAAGTCAAATAAATTATCTACAACTAGCCATAAACTAAAGTCAAATAAATTATCTACAACTAGCCATAAACTAAAGTCAAATAAATTATCTACAACTAGCCATAAACTAAAGTCAAATGAATTAGCTACAAGTTGCCATAAAGTCAAATGAATTAGCTACAACTAGCCATAAACTAAAGTCAAATAAATTAGCTACAACTAGCCATAAACTAAAGTGTCTACCAGATCTTGGTTAGCTCGGTGTTTGTACGACATGTTGGCAATGAGTCTGATCAGGTCTTTCTTCAAGCCAAACACCGGATGATGTGGATCTATGTTGTCCATACCGGATGCCTTCTCCTCCCTGCTGAAGACGTTCCCTCCAGACTTGCCGATGTCATTGATGCTGCGCAGTAGATCTAATGGGGGGGGGGGGGGAGAGGGAAGTAATGTTATTAGGACATATAATGTGGCGGTTACCAGTAGCGTAGCGAGGGGGGGGGGGAGGGGCGCGGGGGGGGGGGGACGACGACGACATATGTCCCCGGGCGCCGACCTTAGGGGGCGCAAAAATGGGTTGGAAAAACAAATTGAAAGTATGAGGGGGGGGGGTGCAAATCGAAATCTTGAGGGAGGGGGGGGGTCAAATCGAAAAGTTTGTCCCCCGGCGCCGGGAATGGTCGCTACGCCTCTGACGGTTATATCACATTTAAGTGAAAATAGATGTAGCTTTAATGAATGATATTTTCAGTTGAAGAGTTGTATAAAGTTGTAGGTGAAATTTGGTGTAAAATTTTTAATGGAAAGGATTTTTACTGACAGGAGAAAGAAGCATAGCTCAATTTTTAAACTTTACAATGGAGCATTTAAGAAACCTGTCTGATGGAGCAGTGTGAGGGTGGGGGTTTTAAGAAGGCGGTAACGAATGAATCCAACAACACGCAGTTCAAGTTCAACTATAATTGTTCTTTATTAAAATGATATATATGTTCAAGTTTCTACCTAACTGATCTACACTGTACTATTTACTTCTACTACTGACTGTTCACCATACTACTTACTCCCACGACCAATCCTAACACTATCTACATTCTACAACCTAACACCTTCTCTACTCTTCGCTATCTAATCATGATCTCCTAACTATCTACATTCTCGGCCGTCTCTGACCGCTACCTAACACCTTCCTGGCCTATCGCTCTACTGCCCCACGCCTCAGTGGTCAGCTGACCGTCCCACGTGACCGGTCAGCCCTGTGCGCCCATTGGCCTCTCTAACCAACCAACTAGGCCTATAGTCTGTTTCTGCTAACCTATATCTGCTAAACATGTCTGACGTAATCTTGCGTCATCACATATCTCCCTCCCTTTCTGTAGCTGACAAATTATATTTTTCAGCGTCTGCTACTAATCTAATACATCAACTACTATCTATCTTACTACTCTATTCTATCCCTAACATCAATCATGTAAATCAAATACAAAATGGGACAGCACAGTTTACAAAAACATAAAATCTTGTGTCTGTGTTCCTGAATAAAAAAAAATGTCATTGTTCTAGTTCTTGTGTAAGTATCTAGACGTCTGTGGTGTCTCTGCTTGATAATGTATGTCTATGTTATGGTATGTGTGAATTCAATCATGTGTAACTCAGTTCTGGCTAGGTTGCCGTGTACTGGCCTTGAGCCAATCTTAGTGGTAATGTGTAACTGGTTGAACGGCTCAGCGAGCAGTGTAAGTGTAGGTGTAAGTTATGTAATTGTTGGCGTTCCTCTGTGGTGGGTGGGTTGTGGCGTTGGTCTACGTAAGTTCCCGTGAGGCGGGTGTAGGCGTAACTTTCGTTGGTCCATGTGATGACGCAACAAACTCAACGCTGGTTGAGACGTCCACGTAGAGTGGTTATACGATGAACTGGAGCTGTCTGATGCGCTGGTGAACAATGACGTAACATTCCGACGCTGGGAACTTGGACGATGGGTCTTCTACCCTTTGTATGTGCCGACGTAGGTGTACGTAGCTGGCGGTCTGTTATTCAACTCCAGTGCGGGGGCGAAGCGGTGGCGATGCGTCCGCTATCTTGACCAGGGCAATTCTCTGTTCAGTAGGGCTGGCCGCTGTCCAGGTAATTCAACGTAATCAGGGCTTCAGGTGGCGGCATTCTTTGAAGTGTCTTCCTCATCTCGTCTCATTCTGTGTAAGCGTTAGTGGGTCTGAAAATGTGTATTACGAGACTATGAGCAATGGCTTTACGTGAACATTTTAGTGCCCGCGCAGACAAGTATCTAGACAGAGGTACCTTCCATTAAAAAAAACCTCAATCCCAAATTTAAACGTGCTGAACATTTGTCTGGCGGCATAACAAACATTAAAAAAATAACATTACAACATAACCAAATAAAAAATCAGTACACTCTAATCTAACAACAATCTGTAAAGCCTAATAAACTCAATAGACGTAAACACTACTAGAGCTTAGAAATAGCTTCACAAAAAAGAATAGACATGTAAGTGTATATAAATAATCGTGCCGTTTCAAATAACATTTGAACACGTAATCATATAGTGGAGCAGCTCTCACTATCTGACTTCTGACAAAAACTGGCTGGCTTGACTTAATGACTGACTTCACTTTTGACTTCAGTAACTTGACTTATTTCACTTTAACTGACTTCACTTTGACTTCAGTAACTTGACTGACTTCAAATTAACAACTGACTTCACTTTGGACTAACTTGACCTCGACGACTTCACTTCAATTCAACTTAAAAGACTTCACTGACCGACTTAAACTTCGACGACTTAAACGTCTTCACTTTGACTTCAAAGACTTTTCCTTGGCTTCAACTACTTCAATATGACTTCAAATAATTCACTTTGTCTTCAACAACTTCAATATGACTTCAAAGACTTCACTTTGTCTTCAACAACTTCAATATGACTTCAACGACTTCAATATGACTTCAAAGACTTCAATATGACTTCAAAGACTTCACTTTGACTTCAACAACTTCAATATGACTTCAAGGATTCACTTTGACTTCAACGACTTCAATATGACTTCAAAGACTTCAACGACTGACTTAGATTAACCTTACTTCAACTTCAAAGACTTTAACTTTGACTTCAAAGATTTCAACGACATCACTTTGATTTCAAAGACTTCACTATAACTTTGACGATTTCACTTCTTTACTATGACCTCAACGACTTTAATATAACTTCAAAGACTTTTCTTTGACTGCAACATGACTTCAACAACTTATTGACTGACTTAACTGACTTCAAATAACCTCTTTGACTTCAGTTCTGACTTATACTTCACTGACTTCAATAACACAATTGACTTCAGTTTGACTACACTGACTTCGACTTCAACTATATCGACTTCATGCCGATTTTCTCGACTAATTAGATCAACACAAAAACTCGACTTGACTTCACTATTATGTCCGTTGTTCAAAATCATTTATGGAGACAGTCCGGGTCACATTCTTGGTCATGGGGTTGATGTTCTAGGGCAGTTGCGTGTTATCTATGTGTTGTACTTTCCGTTTCACTAATTCTAACGCTAACTCTGCTTTTGTTCTTGACATGTTTTACTATCTTGACTATCTTGTTTTCTAACTTATTCTCTACAAATGTTTCAACTTCTTCTCCTGTTTTGTCTAATGGTATGCCCTGTTTATAGCATTGAAACTCTGCCTCCATGGTTGTGTATGTGTATGTGTGTGTGTTGAGGAAAGTCAAAATAACTAAGGCAACAGTGCGTAACAATAGAATGTGTAAGGCAGAAAAACCGCTGGCACAAACTATCCAGCACGGGTATAAACCCAAACGTTTAAAAAAAATGATGGAAGGTACTTATCTTTGTGAATATGGAGACAGTTCCCTTGTGTTCCAAACTCGTTCCGACTGAAGAAGTCCGCTCTGTGATGAGTTAGAGAAAGCAATACACAAGTCGTACTCCGTCATGAGTAAACCGATATACTTTCTTTCCCGTCCTCGATCTGCGGTTCGTCCCGAGCTCCGCCAGATGTGAGGTTGGTGATTTTAGGAAGGCCGGAACGAATGAATCCAACAACACGCAGTTCAAGTTCAACTATAATTGTTCTTTATTAAAATGATATATATGTTCAAGTTTCTACCTAACTGATCTACACTGTACTATTTACTTCTACTACTGACTGTTCACCATACTACTTACTCCCACGACCAATCCTAACACTATCTACATTCTACAACCTAACACCTTCTCTACTCTTCGCTATCTAATCATGATCTCCTAACTATCTACATTCTCGGCCGTCTCTGACCGCTACCTAACACCTTCCTGGCCTATCGCTCTACTGCCCCACGCCTCAGTGGTCAGCTGACCGTCCCACGTGACCGGTCAGCCCTGTGCGCCCATTGGCCTCTCTAACCAACCAACTAGGCCTATAGTCTGTTTCTGCTAACCTATATCTGCTAAACATGTCTGACGTAATCTTGCGTCATCACAAGCAGTTAAGACAGACTCTGATGAAGCATATTAGATGCCTGTTTGAAGAGGCAGGAAAAACACCTGTCTGATGGAGCAGGTAAGAAAGACACCTGTCTGATGGAGCAGGTAAGACACCTACCTGATGGAGCAGGTAAGACACCTGTCTGATGGACCAGGTAAGAAAGACAACTGTCTGATGGAGCAGGTAAGAAACCTGTCTGATGGAGCAGGTAAGACACCTGTCTGATGGAGCAGGTAAGACACCTGTCTGATGGAGCAGGTAAGACACCTGTCTGATGGAGCAGGTAAGACACCTGTCTGATGGAGCAGGTAAGACACCTATCTGATGGAGCAGGTAAGACACCTGTCTGATGGAGCAGGTAAGACACCTATCTGATGGAGCAGGTAAGACACCTGTCTGATGGAGCAGGTAAGAAAGACAACTGTCTGAAGGAGCAGGTAAGACACCTATCTGATGGAGCAGGTAAGAAAGACACCTGTCACTTACTGATGGAGCAGGTAAGACACCTGTCTGATGGAGCAGGTAAGACACCTATCTGATGGAGCAGGTAAGAAAGACACCTGTCTGATGGAGCAGGTAAGACACCTATCTGATGGAGCGGAAAAGACACCTGTCTGATGGAACAGGTAAGAAAGACACCTGTCTGATGGAGCAGTTAAGGAAGACACCTGTCTGATGGAGCAGGTAAGACACCTATCTGATGGAGCAGATAAGACACCTGTCTGATGGAGCAGGTAAGAAAGACATCTGTCTGATGGAACAGGTAAGAAAGACACCTGTCTGATGGAGCAGGTAAGGAAGACACCTGTCTGATGGAGCAGGTAAGACACCTATCTGATAGAGCGGAAAAGACACCTGTCTGATGGAACAGGTAAGAAAGACATCTGTCTGATGGAACAGGTAAGAAAGACACCTGTCTGATGGAGCAGGTAAGGAAGACACCTGTCTGATGGAGCAGGTAAGACACCTATCTGATGGAGCGGAAAAGACACCTGTCTGATGGAACAGGTAAGAAAGACACCTGTCTGATGGAGCAGGTAAGGAAGACACCTGTCTGATGGAGCAGGTAAGACACCTGTCTGATGGAGCAGGTAAGACACCTGTCTGATGGAGCAAGGAAGACACCTGTCTGATGGAGCAGGTAAGAAAGACACCTGTCTGATGGAGCAGTTAAGAAAGACACCTGTCTGATGGAGCAGGTAAGACACCTATCTGATGGAGCAGGTAAGAAAGACACCTATCTGATGGAGCAGGTAAGACACCTGTCTGATGGAGCAGGTAAAACACCTGTCTGATGGAGCAGGTAAGAAAGACACCTATGTGATGGAGCAGGTAAGACACCTGTCTGATGGAGCAGGTAAGACACCTGTCACTTACTGATGGAGCAGATAAGACACGTGTCTGATGGAGCAGGTAAGACACCTGTTTGATGGAGCAGGTAAGACACCTGTCACTTACTGATGGAGCAGATAAGACACCTGTCTGATGGAGCAGGTAAGACACCTGTCTGATGGAGCAGGTAAGACACCTGTCTGATGGAGCAGGTAACACACCTGTCTGATGGAGCAGGTAAGAAAGACACCTGTCTGATGGAGCAGTTAAGAAAGACACCTGTCTGATGGAGCAGGTAAGACACCTATCTGATGGAGCAGGTAAGAAAGACACCTATCTGATGGAGCAGGTAAGACACCTATCTGATGGAGCAGGTAAGAAAGACACCTATCTGATGGAGCAGGTAAGACACCTGTCTGATGGAGCAGGTAAGAAAGACACCTGTCACTTACTGATGGAGCAGGTAAGACACCTGTCTGATGGAGCAGGTAAGAAAGACACCTATCTGATGGAGCAGGTAAGACACCTGTCTGATGGAGCAGGTAAGACACCTGTCACTTACTGATGGAGCAGATAAGACACCTGTCTGATGGAGCAGGTAAGACACCTGTTTGATGGAGCAGGTAAGACACCTGTTTGATGGAGCAGGTAAGACACCTGTTACTTACTGATGGAGCAGGTAAGACACCTGTCTGATGGAGCAGGTAAGACACCTGTCTGATGGAGCAGGTAAGACACCTGTCTGATGGAGCAGGTAACACACCTGTCTGATGGAGCAGGTAAGACACCTGTCTGATGGAGCAAGGAAGACACCTGTCTGATGGAGCAGGTAAGAAAGACACCTGTCTGATGGAGCAGTTAAGAAAGACACCTGTCTGATGGAGCAGGTAAGACACCTATCTGATGGAGCAGGTAAGAAAGACACCTATCTGATGGAGCAGGTAAGACACCTATCTGATGGAGCAGGTAAGAAAGACACCTATCTGATGGAGCAGGTAAGACACCTGTCTGATGGAGCAGGTAAGAAAGACACCTGTCACTTACTGATGGCGCAGGTAAGACACCTGTCTGATGGAGCAGGTAAGAAAGACACCTATCTGATGGAGCAGGTAAGACACCTATCTGATGGAGCAGGTAAGACACCTGTCTGATGGAGCAGGTAAGACACCTGTCTAATGGAGCAGGTAAGACAGACACCTGTGACTTACTGATGGAGCAGGTCAAGAGGTCAGCGTCCTGCTGTATCGCGGGGTACATGACCACATGTTGGGCTGCCATACTGAGGATCTCCAGCTCTTTAGCGATGACCAAAGCCATCTGGACAGACAAAAATTGTTAGCGATGACCATTTGGACAATGACAACAATTGTTAGTGATGACCAAAGCCATCTGCACAACGACAACAATTTAGTTAATAATGAATAGCACAGATACTGCCAACAATTCCTGCAAATGTTTTAAAAAACATTTATTTCACTATCATAACTGATGGATAATACTGATCGTTTACATAATGTATTATAAAGCCAATAGTCTATGCTGTCATCAGCAGTAACGTTTAGTTAGATCACTTGTGACGACATGCACGTGCAAGCTAAAGCTATTTGAGATATAGAATGTACGTATATTGTACAATGGGGCTAAAATAAAACTGTAAACTTTCAAATAGACAATCTCACATAATTCACAATGGATCATTTCTAATACTATGTATTTACTTAATACAGTATTACAGTCACAAACGTCAGTTTTGCTGTGAAATAAAAAATCTAATTAATAATCACAAGTTAAACTTTTTAATCTTAACAAACAAACAAAAAAGGATAATTCAAATCATTAGCATACCCAGGGGCTTGCGACCCCTCCCGGCGCCCGGGGACAAAATTTGAATTTGGCTCCCCCCATATATTTTTTATATTTATAATACAAAATAGCATCTAAAATGAGCTTATTTTGGCGCCGTAATGGCGCCCCTAGGGTCGGTGCATGGGGACATATGTAACCCCCCTCCACGTCGCTACGCCTCTGAGCATACTCATTAATATATTGAACATAGTTAAAATTATAATAAGCCAGCGAGGAAAATAGTAAGTACGTTTGTTGGCAGACATAAGTTCTGTCTGGGTGGTAGACACCCCCCCCCCCCCCCATTCACACGTGGGATGTTTTTTTAGCCCCCCCCCCCCCCTTCTTGACGATGAATGGACTACTGTCAGCTGAGCGGGCAACTGTTATCTAGGTCAAACACTCCATCTTGAAATCAGACTAGAAGAAATATCCCACACGCCGCGAGAGACGGGTTTTGGCGGGAAACGAAACGGATATGAGAAACTTCCACGTAACTTCCGGCTATATTAAAATCTCAAAGTTCACGTGTTATTAGAAAACGTGATGGAGGTTGGGGGAGGGGTGCGTGGGTGGGGGCTGTTCTAAGTGCCTCGGGTAAACGCTGGATATTTAAGGCAAATTGTACAACAGATGGTAGCTTAGATGGTAGAAGAGATGTTAAGGTAATTGTTTGAAAAGATTTTCTAAATTATATCAAGTATATGAAAAAAAAAACGATGATTTAGATAAATGAGTTATGAATAGTATAACTGTTCTTTCAATATTGCGATGTGCTTATAATTATTCAACAAAGTTATAATTACAAATATTAAATTATGTTTAATAATACCTGTGTACTAAAGTACAAATATATTGTATATTTCTGTCATTTCTGTCAAAGTTTTGTCGCCTCCCTAGCACCAGTACACCCGCACCCCTTCCCCCAGCACTAGTCCACACCTCCCGACAAGGGTTTCTTGCAGACTTTTTTCTCCGGGGGGGGGGGGGGGTGGGGGCGGGGGGGGGGGGGGAGGGGCACGATATTGTCAGGGGGGGGGGGTGGCGGACACTGGATAAAGTATGTTTTCTATATAATTCAATTTCGTGCGGGGGTGGGGGGGGGGGGGCGGTAGACATACTTCGGGGGGGGGGGACGCCTAGAAGAAACTCTGCTCCCAACTTGAAGAACGCTGAACACAGGTGTGACGTTCAAGACTAGAACGTAGGACACAACCAGACGTCAGCCACAGAGACATCGAACCATCCGGCTGGGTACCAGCGGGATGAGACCTGTGATGGTAGGGTGGGGGCAGGATGGTAGTGGGATGGTACAAACGTGGTGGTTGTTTGCTAGAAGGATGGTTGCAGGATGGCAGGTACAACATATAAAAAGCCTTAAGTAAACTCGTTTAAGAAGTTAATAAAATGTTATTTTGTTCTTTTATTGCTTTAATTTCTACATCAACATTTAATTTAACTCATTAAGATAATGTTCAAAACATTAATGCTAATTTAAAAAAAAAATTAAAATATCTATTTTTATAACTAGAACTATCTGTCGAGAAACATCTGTAACATTTATTTAATTGGCAAAAAGGTATTTCTAATTTAGTAATGTATTATTTCAAACCCAAGAGAACAACAAGAAAATCAAAAAGAAGAAAAGCGAAAAAAACAAAACTCAACAATAAAATAGAGATTACACGACAGAACACGAAGTGAGGAAAGGGTGATCAAATACAGCAAAAATATCCATGCTTTAGTGAAAGTAGGTTACATACTACATAACGATATAAGTTAGCTAGTAAAAGTTAGATCTACATCTAAAAAAAGTAAAATTAATGCAGTTAAAGTTAAATAATAAAATATTAGTTGTTTTTTTTAAAAATAATTTAATTTAGTATCAGCCACAAGCAAGCAAACACAGAATAGCAAGATCAAACCAAGCATGGCACAGCAACTACCGACTAGACCACAGCATCGACTACTGTTGTAATGCTAGTTTATGCTAGTATCGATGTCTAAGTATCGACTATATTATTTACTCACAATGATCGAGCTCTGGGGAGACATGAAAAAAAGGCAGGTTAACGACACACGATGTTGAACACACCTTCCATGTGCTCAGTGCAACCATCCAAAGCAAGGACGCTCCTCAAATCTTTACTCACAAAATGGCCGCAGTCATTATTGTATCTAGATCTTTTAATCCAATATTTCAAGTCCAAAAAGTGTGATGGACAAATTTGGAATTTTGAAAAATAATGTTAGTAACTGAATTTTAGACCTCAATTCGAGTTTTAAAAAAACAAAATTGAAAAAAAAAAACCCATGCAATTTGAGAAGTGGGCGGGGGTCGTTGTAGACTGAGATGTGACGTCATTTTTAGGGGTTATGGATTTTTGTAACAATGCCTGATGATGGGGAAAAGGGGTGGGGGGTATTTTTTTTTTTAAAAAGGCTGGATGTCATTTATGGATGACCCCTAGTTATAAGATCTTAACATAAGTCAAAGACAGTACCCCCCCCCCCCCTCCAAAGATCTGTGAAGATTTGAGAAGCGTCCATCACATTTAGCACACAGAGCTGCGTAAAGTCATGTATGATTCAATTAATGCGCACGGCAAATGCGACGCGACATGAAGCGATAGAAAGGTGCCCTGGCCCTAAAGCCTAGCACTGACGGACTGGGCTGGGGGGTGGGGATAGCCCACAATCATCGGGCTAATGGCTCTATAATTCATGGTTCATTAATGCTACATTAATACTTCATTATGTCTTGGTGGCTAATGCAGGGGATGCAAATTTCTCGTGCAACTGCTGAGGTTTGCAGGGTAGAATTATAGGGGGGGGAGGGGGGGAACACGCGATGGAGGGTGTTTGTTAGGGCAATTAGTACAATCTAAAACTTGACCAGGGAAGTTAGTAAAACCTAATTCAAACTGGTTTTTAAAATTGGCTGCTATAAGTGGGCGAAGTAGGGGAGAGGAAAGCTACATAGGCTGGTGTAAGGTGGGGTCCACCTTCATTAACATATCCCTAACCTCCGCACTCAGTCTGTGAAATATGGGAAGCAGGAAGCTTCTTAATTAGAGCATCACTAATGAGCCCACTTCCTGTGGCTGGGACAGACAGTCAGCTGAGTCCAGAGTCTGAGCTGCAGGGAACTTTTGGCCAGATAAAAAGGCGAGGACAGAAGCCAAAGGAGAAAACACGAGGAAGCGAGGGCTGGAGTAGCACTGCTATGGCGAGATAGATGTCCGACAGCTAACATATACAAAAAAGCACGTGACGTCTTAAAAGCGTGTGACGTCACAAACAAAATGTGATGTAATAAAAGTGAATGACGTCGTACAAGCAGGTGTAATGTCACGTGTTAAAAAAATGGACATGACGTCACATTAAAAAAAACGTCTCACCTCCTGGTCTGTGGTCTCGGGGGTCTTGAGGGTCAGGATGAGGTTGCACTCCCTCTTGACGTCATCCGCGATGAACTGGAGGTTCGCCTGGGAGATGGCGAACTGGCCAGGGTCAAGGTCACCACAGCTGGCGTCGTCGGGCAGCTCCACCATCTCTGCCAGCATCACCTCCATCAGCAGGAGTCTGAAACGGTAATCAGAGTTCGGAGTATGAAACAGGAATCAGATTTCGGAGTATGAAACGCTAATCAGAGTTCGGAGTCTGAAACGGTAATCAGAGTTCGGAGTCTGAAACGGTAACCAGAGTTCGGAGTCTGAAACGGTAATCAGAGTTCGGAGTCTGAAACGGTAATCACAGTTCGGAGTATGAAACGGTAATCAGAGTTCGGAGTATGAAACAGTAATCAGAGTTCGGAGTCTGAAACGGTAATCACAGTTCGGAGTCTGAAACGGTAATCAGAGTTCGGAGTCTGAAACGGTAATCAGAGTTCGGAGTCTGAAACGGTAATCAGAGTTCGGAGTCTGAAACGGTAATCAGAGTTCGGAGTCTGAAACGGTAATCAAATGAGAGTCTGGTCAAATGGGGATTCGAAGTCTGAAGCACTCATGTGAGCGTTCGAAGTCCGAAGGAGTCGCGTGTGAGTTGGAAGTCTGAAGCAGTCATGTTAGTGATGGAAATAGTTCTTCATAATACTGGAGCGAATCTTCTTCAACAATATAGAACAACGTAAACTCCGCCATCAGATTCTATGGCTTTGCTCCTATAGCCTGTGTCCATTCAAGAACAATCTGCGAGGTAGCAGTTGCATTTCGTCGTTTTCCCAAATACAGAAGTTAACGTTTTAATTTATTGAATGGAAGTTTAATTCGTGAGAAGACTCATTAGTTATTTAGTTTCACTAGACGGTGTGGCGAGCAATGGTACAGGGGTGATGGCGGGGGTGTAATGGTGATGGTAGGTTTAGTGGTATGGCATATTTAGCAGTTAAAAACAACAGCAAATCAGCGTATAACTTTGTGGACAAAAGCCTTTCTTTTCTCCACATAAAAAAAACCAAGCCAGCAGACAGTATTGGGTGTTTAAAGCAAGTAGACTGTGGGCTGGTGGACTGTGGGCTGTTGGACTGGTGGGCTGTGGGCTGGTGGGCTGGTGGACTGTGGGCTGGTGGGCTGTGGGCTGGTGGACTGTGGGCTGGTGGACTGTGGTCTGGTGGACTGTGGGCTGGTGGACTGGCGGACTGTGGGCTAGGTGGACTGTGTGCCGGTGGACTGTGGGCTGGTGGACTGTGGACTGGCGGACTGTGGGCTGGTGGACTGTGGTCTGGTGGACTGTGGGCTGGTGGACTGGCGGACTGTGGGCTGGTGGGCTGTGGGCTGGTGGACTGTGGGCTGGTGGACTGTGGTCTGGTGGACTGTGGGCTGGTGGACTGGCGGACTGTGGGCTAGGTGGACTGTGTGCCGGTGGACTGTGGGCTGGTGGACTGTGGACTGGCGGACTGTGGGCTAGGTGGACTGTGGGCTGGTGGACTGTGGACTGGCGGACTGTGGGCTAGGTGGACTGTGGGCTAGTGGACTGTGGGCTGGTGGACTGTGGATTGGCGGACTGTGGACTGGCGGACTGTGGGCTAGGTGGACTGTGGGTTGGTGGACTGTGGGCTGGTGGACTGTGGACTGGCGGACTGTGGACTGGCGGACTGTGGGCTGGTGGACTGTGGACTGGCGGACTGTGGACTGGCGGACTGTGGGCTAGGTGGACTGTGGACTGGCGGACTGTGGACTGGCGGACTGTGGACTGGCGGACTGTGGGCTGGTGGACTGTGGACTGGCGGACTGTGGACTGGCGGACTGTGGGCTGGTGGACTGTGGACTGGCGGACTGTGGACTGGCGGACTGTGGGCTAGGTGGACTGTGGGCTGGTGGACTGTGGGCTAGTGGACTGTGTGCAGGTGGACTGTGGACTGGCGGACTGTGGGCTAGGTGGACTGTGGACTGGCGGACTGTGGGCTAGGTGGACTGTGGGCTGATGGACTGTGGACTGGCGGACTGTGGGCTAGGTGGACTGTGGACTGGCGGACTGTGGGCTAGGTGGACTGTGGGCTGGTGGACTGTGGACTGGCGGACTGTGGGCTGGTGGACTGTGGACTGGCGGACTGTGGGCTAGGTGGACTGTGGACTGGCGGACTGTGGGCTAGGTGGACTGTGGACTGGCGGACTGTGGGCTAGGTGGACTGTGGGCTGGTGGACTGTGGGCTAGTGGACTGTGGACTATGGGCTGGTGGACTGTGGGCTAGTGGACTGTGGACTATGGGCTAGTGGACTGTGGGCTAGTGGACTGTGGGCTGGTGGACTTTAAACACAAGACATTTCCGGCGTCTTAATATCTAATCAATTGTAAGGGTAAATGATCGTCTGTTGTCAAATTCTGGGGAAGGGGAGTAAGAGGGTCAGGCACGCGATTTAGAACTCTTTCTTTTATCATGCGTGTGGATCGTGTTGCGTAGATGGTGTTGTGTAGATGTTGTTGTCTTGTGGATGGTGTTGTGTGGATGGTGTTGTGTGGATGGTGTTGTTGTGTGGATGGTGTTGTGTGGATGGTGTTGTGTGGATGGTGTTGTGTGGATGGTGTTGTGTGGATGGTGTTGTGTGGATGGTGTTGTTGTGTGGATGGTGTTGTGTGGATGGTGTTGTGTGGATGGTGTTGTTGTGTGGATGGTGTTGTGTGGATGGTGTTGTGTGGATGGTGTTGTGTGAAGGTTTTTTTGTGGATGGTGTTGTGTGGATGCTGTTGTTGTGTGGATGATGTTGTCATGTGGATGGTGTTGTATGGATGGTGTTGTTGTGTGTATGGTGTTGTGTGAATGGTGTTGTTGTGTGTATGGTGTTGTGTGGATGGTGTTGTGTGAATGGTGTTGTCGTGTGGATGGTGTCGTGCGGATGTTGTCGTGTGGTAGTGAAGTCACGTGAAACGTCATGTTGAGATATCACGTATTGCATTTGTCGATGGTGTATGGCGGCATTGGGTGATGACGTTATCTGCTAAGGTCATGCAGTAGCTCTGAAAGTTGTAAAACGATGTGACGTCACGAGGTGAAGGTCAACTACTGACCACGTTTGTTGGGCCAGACATTGTCTCTCTGACACAACAAAAACAGCCAGATGATCCCACATTATCCTGAATTTAAAGAGTTATCCCACGCTATCCTAAATTGTTAGCTACACAGGAAGTTCGCCTGCAGACAGTTTCATTCCATCCCTGCCATCAGAGTTTAATTTAGCCACACGTTCTCATTAAGCCTAATGAAACAAAGTGCACTTTCTCGAGATTAATGAAAAAAGTTAAGACTTGTCATTTTGCTAAGGGGGATAAAGCAACTTAATATGTTTGTTAAACAGTTCGGGCATGAAAGAATCTTATGCTGGGTCGCAGACGTCACGGAAGTACACAAACATCGATGACGTCACGGAAGTACACAAACATCGATGACGTCACGGAAGTACACGAACATCGATGACGTCACGGAAGTACACATAGTGACGTCACGGCAGTTACACAAACGTCTATGACGTCACGGCAGTAAATAAGCATCGATGATGTCATAGCAGTACAGAACCATCGATGACGTCAGAACAATACGCCTGTCCAACAAACATCGATGACGTCACGGCAGTACACACACATCGATGACGTCACGGAAGTACACCTGTCTTGCAAATGATCGCCTGAAGGATGACACCTTGATGACTAGTGACCCCAGTAATCCACCTGTCAGTAAGGAACCCAGCCAGTGTTGCCTCTAATCGATACGATCGTCTGGTAACTGTCACACCATTTTACCACACATTAAACTCACATTACATCAATCAATGGCTAACCACTTTATCCCTAAACACAACCACCACACCACTAACTGCATACCTAAACACAACCACCAAACCACAAATCATATCCCTGACCACATAATCTCAATCCACAACCACCATTCCACTAACCACAACCTCCACACCACTAACCACAACACCACTAACCACAACCTCCACACCACTAACCACAACCACCACACCACTAACCACCACACCACTAACTACATCCCTAAACACAACTACCACACCACAAATCATATTTCTAATTACAACCACAACATCCCTAACCACATAATCTCGAACCACAATCGCCACAACCCTAACCACAACCACCACACAACTAACCACAACCACAACACCACTAACCACAACCACTAACCATATTCCTAATTACAACCACCACACCCCTAACCACAACCTCCACACCACTAACCACAGCCACCACACCCCTAACCACAACCACCAAACCCCTAACCACACCCCTAACCACAACCACCACACCACTAACCACAGCCACCACACCACTAACCACACCCCTAACCACACCACTAACCATTGCCACCACACCACTAACCTCCACACCACTAACCACAGCCACCACACCACTAACCACAACCTCCACACCCCTAACAACAACCACCACACCACTAACCACAACCACCACTAACCACAACCACCACACCACTAACCACAACCTCCACACCACTAACCACAGCTACCACACCACTAACCACACCACTAACCACAGCCACCACACCACTAACCACCACACCACTAACCACAACCTCCACACCACTAACCACAGCCACCACACCACTAACCACACAAACAAAGATCAATAGCATACAGCATCTCCCCTCAAAGAAAACCTTTAATGAAGTTAACAGGCAGCAGAACTTGGTCAATGACGAACGTTTATAAAACAGATACAGCCATGGGGGTGTTGCTACATGAATATAGCAGGAGCTGTCCGATCAGGTCAGCAGTCACATGACGTCAGCAGTCACATGAAGTCAGCAGTTATATGAAGTCAGCAGTCATATGACGTCAGCAGTCACATAAAGTCAACTGTCACGTTAGTCATCTGTCAAATACAGTCAGCTGTTATATACAGACAGAAGTCACATGAAGTCAGCAGTCACATAAAGTCAGCAATCACATGATGTCAGCTGTCACGTTAAGTCAGCAGTCACGTTAAGTCAGCAGTCACATAAAGTCAGCAGTCACATAAAGTCAGCTGTCACATAAAGTCAACTACCACAGGTAGAGCTTTCATGAAGCATTACCACACCACAAAACCTCCCAGCTAAGATACAATGTGCT